CACAACAAAGCACTGTGTGTTTCTGTCAGTATGTTCCACTCGCTTCCACTGACTGCTGAATAGATTATAACCCAACTGATGAGAAAACCGCCAATACAAACAGGATGTTTACAGTAGCACGGCACAACGACGACAAAACAAACCCACAACAGAGGAAAACTCTACTGTTCCAGTTGAATCTAAGTCTCAGCATCAGATGTTTCTCCTAGAATTCCTAAAGAGAAATAAATTAGACAAGAAATATACACCGTTCAAAAGTCTGGAATCATTAGGATTTTTTTTTTGTGAAAGAAATTAATACTTAATTCAGTAAGGACGCATTAAATTGATCAAAAGTGTCAGCAAAGACATTTGTAATGTTACAAAAGATTTCTATTTCAAATCAATGCTGTTCTTTTGACATTTCTATTCATCAGAGAATCCTGAAAAAAAACTGCATTGTGGTTTCTACAAAAATTGTTTTAAACATTGATAATTATTGATACTTAGCACCGATAATTGATAATAAATAAGCAGCACATCCGCATATTAGAATGATTTCTGAAGACTGAATTGATACTGAAAATTCAGCTTTGGATCACAGGAAGAAATTGCATTTTAAAATATATTCAAATTGAAAACAGTTATTTTGAATTGTAATAATATTTCACAAATATTCTTACTGTTTCTTATCAAATAACCTCAGCCTTGGTGAGCATAAGAGACTTCTCTCAAAAACATGAATCTTGCAGACTCCAAACATTTGAAAGGTGGTGAACTGTATGTCAACATAAAAGTATACAGCTACTGTGTAACATGAATTTGGATAGGGTTTGAAATCTGAGCAGAGTTTGGAGACATTACTGAGATCCCTGGAATCTTTTTCCTCAGGAGGAAAAATGAAAAATTCTTTCCAAGCCTCCATTTGCTCTCCATTTATTCTCACCGCTGTCTAGGAGACACAATTGAGACATTCCAGAGATCTCGTTTGTGATTTATTTCCCTGTGGGCATCGGCGTTGCATGTAAAATAAATTCGCATTTCACTCAATTAATTCCCCTCCGTTAATATCAGTCTCCGAGCAGCCGTTGGCACAAGATGTTTACGCCCTGGGTGATTAAGATGGAAAAGTGAGTTTCTGACATTCCGATGGAAAACATTCAAAGCTGCTATTTTGCAAATATTTCAGCCCATTTGGAATTCCTTTCCGGTGATCATAAAAAGACAACTGGCATATGTGTCCTCGACTCGGCAGCTAACTACAGGCACAAAACGTGTCAATTGTGGAGGCAGCGCTGTAGAGTTTGGGTGTGTGCGCGCTTGGTGAAGTGTGGCATTTTGGCGACTGCTCGCTGCTCTGCATGCATGAATAATGAATGCACAGGTGGTGGAGGGGGGTCAGGGGCCCGCGCCATCCTCCAAACAACAGAAAGGTCATGCTTGTTTGTGCAGTGTCCTTCAACAGATGTGAAACGCTTCTGACAGAGACTAGCAAATTTCGGTTAAAATGCTCCAAAAAAATTAGTTGATGGGTCAATTATGGTAAAGGTCAACAGGCGCAAAAGGAGAGAGGCGGCTAGCTTGCGCGACTTATGATAATAAATCATCACCTGAGAAACGGAGGTCAAATTCTTTCAGTTGTGATGCCAGTAATACAGGCTTTTATTACAGATAAAGGCCCGAATTCTATGCTTTGTCGCCCTGGTTTTGCATTCAACAAAAGGCGGCTTTGTCTTAATGGTGTTTGGCGACTCTCCGTCGTACAAATGGCAGCGCCAAATTGTTCTTTATTCACACAGACACACACACACACACACAAAAAGAAGCGGAAAAAATGCAGGTAGATTTTTCTCCCAGCAAAGTATCATTCCGATTCACGTGAGATTTGTCAAACGACACTGCTCACAGATTTCCCAAAAGGTTACAATCATCAGTTATTATGGAGAGATGCCTTACAAGAAGTCAACTTTTGCTTCTTTTCACAGCAAATATGGTATAATGGCATCAGCGGCGGCTTCAGACCTCTATGTAAAGTCAATGGGAAATTGCCTGGGAAGTCTGCACTGACAGATGAACCGGCTACTTCCAGGCACAGGGAACAATATCATTTTCTTTCAGCTCACCTTGACTCGTGTGTGCAAACAATCGGATGGAGAAAACAGGCTTGCCCTCTGAGCTCCGGGCCTGATGCAATAAGTCACCATATGCTCGTATTAGCATGCTCTGCATTACGGCATGTGGCGCGCCTCCCGGTCAGCTGTACGCCAATCAAAACACATGCACCTCTTTTATTCTAAACAACCATCCAGCAGGAGTCAGCGGAGGATGAGGAGAGAGCTCTCTGCCGCTGTAGGTCAGCCCCATCTCCTCTCTCCGATCGGAAAATAAACAGAGATTCATGAGCTCAGAGGAATCGGGAGCGGGGCTGAGTATCCATTAGCTCTAGCGATGCAGAGCGGCAAAACGGGAATCGATAACAGGTTCTGTTCGAAATGTAGTGCAAATAAAATGAGCCGCGCTACTGATTCAATTCAAACGGCTGCTGTCAATGAGATGGAAGGACACAAAGCGCCTCTCATTGTCCTAGAGGGTTTGGATTCACCTTGCTGAGCCTTCATTAATACATGGGGATGTGATGTACTTTATTCATTTCCTTCGCTTACATCATTTCCTGGACTGCATGTCGAGCACGTTTGGTGTCGGACGGACGTGTAAAAGGCAACAGTCTTGTGGACCGGCCCTACTCCGAATTATTCACTATATACATTTTCTCATTAAAATGCATGCGGCTCTTCAAAGCAAGACAACAATGATACCATCTGTTGTGTGCCGGCTGGAATACACAGAACAAAGCCGCTGAAAACTGCAACAATTTACTCTAGCCTCGAACACCGTTCACGGTACTACAGCCATTCCGAGTGTACAGTAAATAACTCACATTTAAGTGCAAAGTAGCAGTAATTAATAAATTAAATAAATAAAAATATACATAAAATGTCAAATCTTTAGCTATAATTCCATACAAAAAAAACAGGAAAATGATTACACAAATATTATAATAAAAAATGTGGCAACTGTAATCATCAGAAGTACTAGTTCGTCTTTTTGTTGAAACCCAGGTACTGAAAATAAAAAAATACCAAATCATCTCTTTTAAATATTACATTTAACCACGGCCATCAAATATAACGAGAAGAGCAAGTATCGAGCGCATCTTTTTTATTTTCATTGATCCCGACCGCATCCTTTATCACCAACCAATTAGCATTAGTTGATTAACCAGGCCCATTACTCACCTAATCGTTACAGTCCAACTAAGAATCCATAGTTACTGTTAAATCTATAGGCTGCTTCAGTGTACTGACATTCGTAACTAATTAGGGTTCTGTAGGGCATGACACAGTCTTGTTTATTTATAACCGACAGCTATTTTTCTTCTCGAGCCTGTAGTGCAGCGAACTCCAGCCATGAGGGAGCGAGTTATGATCGCTGTGCAGATCTTACTGGACTTTTTAATGCACATCCATAGTTTCATAGACTACTTCCTGTCCTTGCTGGAAACCAAGAGTACTAACTGATGAGCTGTTGATTTTGTGGTTGTTTACCACTGACAATAATCTCAACTCATCCCTCAGTGTGAATAAACCAGTTTACAATGTGTTGTTTACACTTACAATTACACTTACAGTATAAAGTTTGTATATTTGTTAAAATGCAAATTTAGTTTAAGTTCATTTTGGATGCCGTAGCGTGACCAAAAATTGCTAAATTAATGAAAATATTTACTTACAATTGTTGTTGTGAATTAAACTCAGAATTATTTAGAATCAGATTTATTTATTTTATTATTTTTGTTTTATTTAATTACCCCGAAGCTTGTCTGTTATTTAAGCATCAGGTAGTCTAAATATAATTGCTGTCAAATCGATTAATCGCATCTAACATAAAACATTTTGTTTATATAATATATGTTATGATATATGTTATATATCTATACATATATATTAGGGCTGTCAAATGATTAATCGTGATTAATCACATCCAAAATAAAAGTTTTTTTTACATAATATATGTGGGTGCACTGTGTATAATTATTTTATATATATATAAATACACACACATGCTTGTATATATTTAAGAAATATTTTCATGTATATACTGTATATAGATTTATATATAATTTATATTATATATAAATATTTTATATATAAATAATATTTTTTTCTTAAATATACATGCATGTGTGTGTATTTATATATATATACAAAATAATTATACACAGTGCACCCACATATATTATGTAAAAAAAACTTTTATTTTGGATGTGATTAATCGTGATTAATCATTTGACAGCCCTAATATATATACATATATACAGTATATACACACATACGTATACATATATATAGATATATAACATATATCATAACATATATTATATAAACAAAATGTTTTATGTTAGATGCGATTAATCGATTTGTTTATATACTATATGTTATGATATATGTTATATATCTATATATATATACAGTATGTACACATACACATATATACATACATATATATATATACACACATTTGAAAAACTTTCAAAACTTTTATGTTAGAAGCAATTAATCGTGATTAATCGATTTGACAGCACTACTAAATATTGCTGTTTTTCTACATGGATGAACTTCTGGTTAGGCGTTATGAGTTGTGAGTTAGCCAGGTTTACCTTTTAATCTGGTTATGACGTACGTTGAAAATTTGTACATACATTTTCTATGTTATGGTTATCATACAAATTCTATAATAGTACTCTTTGTAGCTTGCCTGCTTTTTTACTTTCATCTTGAGTTTTTTATAGTAAAGATAATTTCCCATTCATTATTACACCGTGTGGAAATTGAAATTATTGTCTTTAGTATTCAATATTCAGCATACTACACATGATATACATTAAACTGAAAATAACCTGAGGGGGAAAAAACAACAACAAAAAGAGCAAAATAAATCTTGATTTCTACACGGAGTCTTACCTTTGACTGAGGTGTTGGGCGGAGGTCCTTCGATGCGCAGGTTCCACGGCGGGTCTCCCTGGTTGGCGAAGTCCCTCATCTTAAGGTAGCTGATTGTTAGGCGGATGATGGAGGCCTTATCCAGCTGGCTGGTGATGGCGCCAGGGAGCGGAAGCATCTTTGCCAGCTCGTAGAACTCGAAGTTTTCCTTCCCCCGGCGCGAGCGAGCGGCGTCACGTGACTTCTCCTTCCTAAGAGCCTGCAACCTGGCAGAAACGCAAGAACATCAGTAATATAAACAACTACTGCTAGTCAAAGCCTGACTGACTATGCCTTCTTGTTGGAAGAAGTGTCCATCCTTTATGCTTAAAATGCTTGATTGATAAATGATTTGTTGATGAATGACAATTGGTGAATCATAATTTAGCGCTTTAAATTTACATTGCATAGATATTGAAATTGACCCCATTTACTGTCTTAACACATAGTCCTAGTTTTATTTTGTGCATGTTATTGTAAAGACAAAGTATCTTTCATTAAATTTAATAACTTTCTCCACCTCCACATTGACTTTTTGGTCAACATAAAATGTTTTGCTCACCAGCCACTGTGGCTAGCATTTTCACTGGCCACAATTTTGACATCGATACAATCAGGAAAACTGCCATATAGATATTTTTTATATTATCTCATAGTTTGGCAGCAGAGATGTATTAGGCTGGTGTCACTTTGTCACATTATACTGTTACACGTGCATGTTCTTTCTCAACTGTTTACGTTCACTTAAAACATAACTGACTGTGAGACCAGCATTTTGACATTATTTTGGGTGTATTCGACTGTTCAAGCCTAATAAGCAGTGAAAAAGAACTCAATTTAGAACTGAGGTGGATTTATGTGTGCACACTTTGGGTGTGGGAATGAGTAAAATTAAGCTCAATACGTGTAATCCCATGCCGAAATTCAAGCCTTGTGACATAATATTCATCCAGAGCAAATTAAACGAGTGAGGGGAGGGTAGTTTGTGTGTAACTCGCTGGTATCGTGGTATTCTGTGGAAAATTATTATTGGAAGCGTTTCAGATATTTCAGCATCGATATGTAACGACAAATCTATATTTTGACAGCTCTACATTGCAGTTAGTTTGTTATTTCAGATGCCTTTTAAAAAGTCCACAATTGAAAAATGTCTATATTACGTATATAAAATTCTGTACGAATTTAGTAGGAGTGGCTGCGTTACACACCACTGCTGAAACACACTAGCATTTGGCGGGTTGACGCATGTTAATGTCAAGCCCTGGTCACATTCCAAAGTTAAATGGGATGACTTTAACTGGAACATCATTTGCAAAAACACACTGTGGTGGTATTCAACTAAAGTACACTTCCATACAAAATGTTGGTTGGTAAGATTTTTCTAATGTTTTTGAAAGAAGTCTCTCACCAAAGCTGCATTTATTCAATTAAAATACAGTAAAACCGTAATATTGTGAAATATTTTTCAATTTAAAATAATTGTTTTCTATTTGAATATTTTAAAATGTAATTTATTCCTGAATGTCAAAGCTGAGTTTTCAACATTATCACTGTCACATGATCCTTCAGAAATCATCCTAATATGCTGATTTGCTGCTCAAGAAATATTTCTTATTATAAATGTTGAAAATAGTTGTGCTACTCAATATTTCGGAGAAAAATGTGATTCTTTTTTCAGCATTCTTTGATGAACAAAAAGTTTGTTTTTTTTTAAAACAGCATTTATTTGAACATATTTTGTAACTATGTCCTTATTGCCACTTTTGAACAACATAATGCATCTTTCCTGAAAAACAGTATTCATTTCTTTAAAAAAAAATCTTACTGTTCCCACACTTTTGAACGTTAGTGTTTATATAGTAGCACAGTACTATATTAATAAATAAGAATTCCACATACAATGTGTTGTTAGTTACAGTATTACACCATAAGCAGAGAGTAAACCATGATTACTATTGATAGATCCAATAATATTAGCCTCTATTCATAACACACACACGTAAACCCGATTCATCTCTATTGTAATTTATAGCTATATATCCCAACATGCCTTTCTCTTTTCAACACTGTTTTTCCCAGCCAAATAAAAGGCCCAGGAGAGACGGTCTGTAACTGAACTCAATAGCTGTGCCTGGCTCTTTGTTATTGACTGTATATAGTATCAAGAGCACACCTCTGTGCCAATCACAGACGGGGCAAGCAACCGCGGTGTTGTGGCGCTGGGCCGCAGCAGGCTAAAGTTGCAGTCACACCGACTTTGTTGTGCTCCGTCGGGAGACCTCGACTCAATTGATTCAGTCATTGGAATCCAGAAGTGGGTCGAAGTTGTGATTAGCTTTGGCCCGGGGTCTCGTGAGACGCCCCTGTGAATGACTTTTATTGCTGCCTTTTTACCACAGACACAGACGACCGGCCAGAGATCTTCTTTCCCTGCCAAGCAGTTAAACAAAGAGAAAGAAACACAACACTGACCTAACCTTACCTGCATTTGAGCTTTTGAGACGAAGCTAGACCGAAAATGCCCAAAATATACACACGCTCCCCCACACATGCCTGCACAAAACAATGATATATTATAAATTATGACTACTGCCTCAAAGTGCTTCTGTTTATTTTAAATCGAGTGATTTACAACACTGCAGTGAGCATTTCTCTTTATTTATTTCCTTCTGAATAAAATTAGCCCCTTTATGGCAGCAATTGCTAGCAACTCAACGCAGTGTCTACACTGGAAGTGTTATCATGTTACAGAGTTAAACAAATGGTTAGAAAGAAAAGATTATATAAATTAGTAGGCCAGTGACCAGAAATATCAAGAGTCTACTTCATAATTCATTTAAATATATGTCTAATCAAATAAATAGCTATCAATTCATTATATGTGCAGGGCTATTGTCGTTAACAAACTAAAACCCATTAAAAAAAAACATTTCCGTTACTCGAAACACAACAAACGTTAACTGAAATAAAATAATATATAAATACATAATTTCTTTCAGCTACAGCAACATTTCTCATTTTTGTTTAGTTTAATGCCAGGTACACACTGCACAATTTTAGCCCCGATTTTCTATTTGCTGACAGTTTCGTGAAAAATCGCAGACAAATGCTCAAAATAAGAGGCAAATTGGTGCTCGTTCACGTAAGTGACAGTCCAGTAGTGTGAAATGTGTTTTAAACTTGAAATTACATCGCCGACAACCTACAGCCAATGAGAGCGCAAGATACAGGGCAAGGGAAAGTTCAGGGGCAGGAGTCATAGACTTGTAACAAAACTTCAGCAAACATGGCTTCTGCAAGCAACCATTGGCTGCATCCACATACTTCCCTACTATATAGTAGGCGAAAAACAGTATGTGACAAAAGAAGTATGTCTGAATTCACAGTAAAGAGTTACCGGCAAAAAGTACCCGGATGACCTACTACTACCAGCGAGATTCTGAATTGTGCATAAGATGGGTACTTTACTGTCCCATGAGGCCACGGGAGAGGATTTGTGAATGGCTGGTAGGTCACATGATAATGACAACATGCCGGATGTAGTACGTGTGGATTACAATCATCCTATACACACTCATGAACATACTTTTTTAGCGGTCGTGAATTAATTACTTGTTCAAAATTACCCACTCAAGAGAGTATGCGATTTCGGACGCAGTCATTCTCCCCGTCATATTCTTCTCGCGCGTGATCTTACGTTAGTTCCTGTTCAATACACTCTTTTACCCAACAATACATCCAGTACTAAAATAACTAAAACTAATAAATAAAAACTGACAAAAAACTATATAGACATTTAAAAAAAACCACCACAAAATTACTACAATTTTAACTAAATTTAAAGTGAAAACAGAAAATATATAAATATAATCGAATTAAAAATATTAACAAAAACTATAATATATAAATAATACTACTTTAATACTGGGTTTATATAAATAAAATAATTTTATTTCAGTTGGAGAAGAAATATACCGCGTAAAGTAGTTTTTCAGCAGGTTGAAAATAGAAATGAGGCATCTGCTAAATTAAAAATGCAATGTGCTACAATGATACTTCTAGTTTAGACAGCTTCATTATCTATAATGTGAGCGATGTATTTTTGTCACAGCATAATGCATCGCACACATCTAGTATAGACACAGTATTATGGGGTACACATTGTACGATTTTGGGCTGTCCCAGGCGAAAGATGACCAATCGTGGTGATTTCTGTGGTCGTGGCTCCTAAACTGTGGTCCAACGTCGTACAGTGAGAGAGGTTTAAAGACATCCGTTGTCACGGTCTAGCGACCAAAGTCAGCCTGAGATAATTCTCTGACAGTGTCAGAAATGTAGCATCATCATCACAGTGTGTTTGCTGCTACGACCTGCGTCTACTGAATAGCCAATAAAAATGCAGCATGAAATGACGTATTAATTAACGCAAGATGACACTAAAACTTAAAGGGATAGTTCACCCAAAAATAAAAATTCTGTCAGTAATTACTCACCCTCATGTTGTTCCAACCCCGTAAGACCTTCGTTCATCTTCGGAACACGAATTAAGATATTTTTTAATGAAATCTGAGAGCTGGATCACTCCTCCATACTAGTCCATAGGCTTCTTCAGGGATTGAACTTGCCGGCCTCGAAAAGTTATTAAAGACATCGTTAAAATAGTCCAAGTGACTACAGTGGCTCAATCTTAAGTTTATCAAGCGACGAGAATACTTTTTGTGCGCAAAAAAAAACAAAATAATGACTTTATTTCAACTATTCATTTCCTTCTCTTTGGGCCTCGAGTCAGTTCACTAGTGTAATAGCGTAAGCTTCTGTTGTTGTACGTCACACGCATCACGCACATGACCAGCGTCGGCCAATAGTGAGCCTACGTGTGACGTAGCTCTACGGAATCACACTACGTTAACTGACTAGAGGCCCAAAGAGAAGGAAATGAATAGTTGAAATAAAGTCGTTATTTTTGTTTGTTTTTGTGCACAAAAAGTATTCTCGTCGCTTGATAAACTTAAGATTGAGCCACTGTAGTCACTTGGACTATTTTAACGATGTCTTTAATAACTTTTCGAGGCCGGCAAGTTCAATCCCTGAAGAAGCCTATGGACTAGTATGGAGGAGTGATCCAGCTCTCAGATTTCATCAAAAATATCTTAAATCGTGTTCCGAAGATGAACGAAAGTCTTACGGGGTTGGAACAACATGAGGGTGAGTAATTACTGACAGAATT